AGCCACAGGAATATCAAAAGTTACAGTTAAAATGCTGTCCGTGACCCTAGGAGCAGGATTAGCTCACACAAAGGGTGAGGAAAACCCAGACCTGGTCCGCCCCATCTCAATCCCATTAGCTTCCAGTGGCAACGCCCCAGCTGTGCAGCACGGGACGTGTCCCTAACGAGCTACATTAGCAGTAGTACCTGCATCCAGCACACGCTGGGGTCACGGGGTCAGCGCTGACAGAATGCAGAGATTAAATTACCCTTGGGGGAGGCACTGGTGGGTGGTTGTCTACAGTATAGTCGCCGACCCCTTCCCCACACAAACAAAAGCATTTACCATGTCGTTTTAGTGGTTCGCACAGTCCCTCTGATCTCATTTCAAACCCTGCAGAGCTCTTTGGGACGCGGCTCAGTCACTTAATATCCAGGGGCTTAGCCCTGAAATCTGGGCTTTATGCTTCCAACGATAAATACTATTTCAATGAGTTATATACTTCAACAATTAATGTTACTTTTATCATTATCACTTGAAACAATAGCTTCAAACACACACTTTGAACACCCCTTGACTCCTTTAAATTAATGAATGAACAAAAATGTCTGAACAATTAAGTAAAAATAAGTTCCGTTTCGTCAGCGCTTCCTTCCAAACACTCCGTCTACAACACATAGGTACTGAAGAAAGTTGAAAAGCTAAAATACTAAAGAGCCAGATATATTTTTCTCAAAGGTTGATGGAGACCAAACCAGAACCGAAAAGGTTCTTCTCAGAACAGAGACAAACATGACGACCGGTGCATTGCCGCTGCTGGGAAACAAAGCTAAAGCAGAACTGCACGCTCAATTTCTTATTTTTTATACTTACACTGAACACATTATCACATAGATTCTTGTTGGAATATGATGTTAATACATGAGGATTCTTCTGACAGCGGTTGTCTGGATTTGAAAGTTTGGTTCAGACGGATTCTCTGGCCCCTCCACAACCCTGATGAAATAGTCAAAACGCTGATGTCCACTGTGAATGTAACCTCACCATCACGCTGGTGCTGCATTGTTCATTCAATCACGACTTGTAGTATGAATAGCAGAATTTATGAAATAAATAAATCATATTCAAACCAGCTCCTGTAACTTGCCGGCGGAAGCCAATGTTTCCGGTGGGAGCCGGACAACGAGGAAGCACTCTGGCTTCTTGTGAGTGCAAGCGGCAAGCTCCGCGTGAGACCTGGAGTCCCGCGGAGCACCGAGAGGCTCCAGGAGGCCTCTGAGCTCAGCCGTCAGAGATTCAGGTCTGAGCACAGGTGCTGTAACGTCTCTACTTCCACTGCAATCCCCCCACACACACACACACACACACACACACACACACACACACACACACACACACAGACACAGACACAGACACAGACACAGACAGACATATCCGCCTGAGTCATCCCAAAGGCATTCACAACCACCTCACTAACAAGAAGAAAAAAAAGAATGAGAAGAGCCAAGTGAAAAAAAACACACACCGCAGAACACACAAAAGGCTTCAGAGAGCACAGCTCGGTCTCGTCTTTCACACGCAGCCCGAGGTGCTGGATTCTGGATGTGTGTACACACACACACACACTTTGGAGCTCCGACGCACCGGCGCTCATTAAGCGTCCATTCACGGCCTTGAGGTAAGGAGGCCAGCCTTGCCATCATTTAAAAAAAAAAAAAAAGAAAACCAGGGATGTATTTGACCGCCTCGATGAAGGTCATCTTTGACGGCTTCTTCGTAGGAGGTTCTTCACACGCCTCTTCTCAGCGATGAGGCAGAGACACATGTGAGCTCACAGTTTATGTAAGAAAAACTGCTTCTCATACACGTAAAAATATGTACATTGATAGCATTGATATTTACTACCAGAACAGTTACTTGTGTATTTACAGGTCAGTGCTTAATCCTTAAACAATGAATATACAACACACTTCCTCACTGTGAGCTGGAATAACACCTTTCCACTTTTCAGCCACTCAAATGCATTTTATTCACACCCTTATTTATTCAGTAGATTCATCAGAGTGGAAAACAAATGATTGTTTTACCAAATATGTCAGTTACCATTAACTGGCCAAAACTACAAATATATTCAGTGGACATTTTTTACAAAACAGAGGGAAAAAACACAGCACATCCTCCCATTGTCAACACAAGAAGCAGCAGTGTTTCTGCTTGTACACGTTATCGATTATTAAAACTAATGTCAGTTGATTTTTAAAATCAATCAGCACTGAAAACCCATGCACACGCGTGAGGAGAACATGTAAACTCTACACAGAAAGCCTCCTTTCTGACATTTCTGTGTTTGAACCCAGGACCAAGCAGGACAAATCAAAAGCACCCTTTAACAGTCTCAAACTGCTCGGCAAAACCTCCGCCCTAAAAAGAAAGAAAAACATTAAAAATCTCAAACCATAAAACTCATGTTAGAAACCCTTAAAAAAAAGCTATGGTTGGTGTGCAACATGTGGCAAAACGGTCACAGATTCAGATGTTTATGGACGCTCTCCATCAAAAATGTTCTCAGTGTTGCTGCTACGACTTCCCTCCGAGCTCCACAGAACGCACTACGGCACACAGGTAATGCACCGGAGGACCAACTGGGATCATTGCCAATGTGTAAATTGGGATTAGGGTCTGTTAACAGCTGAGTAGAATTAGTGGGTCAGTAGAATACAAAAAGGAGAGGCACATCCCTTTTGACTGAGTGTTACTCTTCGCACAGCATTAAAACGTATACGTTAGCACCTGAGTCAAACATAGCGAGAATAACTGTTTAACAAGCGAGGCATATTCAAGACAAAACTCAATTTTAGAAGCCATTAATCAGGAGCAAATAATGGAAGGACTCCGCTTCACCCCGTCTTCATTTGTTGCAGAATCACACGCGCTCTGACCTTTTGCTTATTATAAATCACACACTACTGTTCTGCTGCCAGGACTTGGACTACCCCCCCCCCACACACACACACACACACACACACACACACACCCTCGCCGAGGATTCACACATTGGGGCCGGGAGCACGGGATTAGTGGGCAGATCAAAGCGTGCCATCCAGACCTCTCTCTCGTCTCGTAATCGGGGAAGTCAGCGGCCTCTGAGCTGATAAGTCCCAGCTACTGCTGGTTACTAGGCAAAAGAGAGAGAAGGACTTGGGGCTACAGTCGCAACTAACGTCAGTTATTTTGGAAGCATTTAGTCTATGAACACAGATATGCCCGTCACATGTTCCCAGGGCCACGTCCCGGTCCCTCTTCTGTGTTTAATGTCCGTTTAGTGGCCGGGCTCCGATAGCGCCGCCCGGGAGGCCGGGGACGAACATCGCCGCTTTACGTGGAGGCTCCAAACACATGACCAGGGACACTTTTGCTGAAAATATCTGTATGCATGTGATTAACTCCTGATAATAATCTAAACATCTGATGGACGAGTCATATCTGACCCCGTTTTCAGGTTATTTATCCCCACAAAACATATCTCTCTAATATATAACGTAGAACTATCGGCCCTTAATCGTTATCAGCCCATTTATCGGCTATTGGCTCTTTGCCGCTCCAAACTATCGTTATTATATCGGCCTTTAAAAATCGGTCGATTTGGTCCAAAACGATACAGAACCACATTTGCAGACACACAAACGCAAGTATTCAACTGGAAGCCAATTCCGGATAATGTCACAAAGCCTGTGTTCTGCTGCTCGTTCAGGGTTTAAAGGATCATCAGAACTGAGTGTGGATGGCATTTCTGTAGATGGACTCTACAGGATGTTTTACTACTCGAACCATACAGAAAAGAAAACAAGAAGTACTTACTAAGAAAGAGGCAGCCAGTCACAGCTCCCAGACTTCTGTCACCGTACAGTGAATGAAGGCTCAGCGGTACTTCAGAGCAGACTGAATGAATCAATAAGAGCGTTTGCCACAGAAACACTTTTACTCCGCCGCCGCGGTCGTGTACACGTCCCGCGTTCACCCGACACTTACTCCTGTTGGCTTTTGGAAACATGAATGAGCTCAAGGGGAGAGCGGGAGCTTCATCGACACTGAGATTCCAAACCCTCTACATCGTGCCACCACGTAGACGTTACGTTTGAGTCCAACTACATACCACGATGGTTATTCCACTTTGACAGGATTTACTGTGAACTTTACTTCAAACCCTTCTGCAGTATGACATGGGTCACATTTCAAAAGCAAAACAATCCTCAGCTTTGGGTTAACGGGAAACCATACAGGTGGCGTTTACTAAATCAAGAAGATTGGCGGCAAAATGGCATCACCCGGATGGCGCCAGAAAAGGTCAATAAAAGTAGAAAAACAGAATATTATCTTCGGTCTGACTGGATAATACTCAATTATCATCTTTTTCATCGAAAGTAAAACGTGCCCTCCTCGTACCCTGACAGTGAGCCGCCTTACAAAGGATGCACCGCTGAGCGTGCTGCTGATGGGAGACTTGAGACGTTCAACGACAACACGCCTTGTTTGTGAAAAGATGGAACAACACGCAGAATCTAGAGGTGTGATTAACTCGAGGTGTGGCAGTAGCTCTCTGTGCACGGTATGGCACCTTGCTCCTTTCACCCGTGTCCTGTGTGTGTTACGGCGTGTACTGTGTGCACCGTGATATCTGTCGATATCTGTGGACCAGAATCCAGGAATGGGATGCTGTAAAAATGTCATTCCAGACCTCCCAAACAATGCATGGAACATGTCAGTGGCAAAAAAAAAACAAAGGTGTGAATGAGAAGCAATGCATGTAAGAGAGAGAGAGAGAGAGAGAGAGAGAGAGAGAGAGAGAGAGAGAGAGAGAGAGAGAGAGAGAGAGAG